AATTTCATTAATATTTAACATAATTAAATAATTTCATTTTCGCAAATTTTCGCGAAAAATTAAGGCAAATGTGAACTTCAATAAGCATGATTCGATATTCAGCCAATTATACATGATTTTCCGGCGTTAACGCCGTCGGCCATTCGACTTCGGTTTACTTATGTGCGCAGAACCCGAAGAGCTTGATGTGCGGGATCCATCCATGGCAGGTATAAAGTCCGGTTCAAAATCGTTTTCGAATCCCTGAATTAAACCTATACAGCGGTGGAGCTGGAGCACTTCTAAAAAGGCAAAACTCTGAAAAGCGGTAACAGTGAACGATACTAAATGAAGTTTATTTCAAAACATCGCTTCTGGCTGTAATATCAGCACGAGTAACATAGGGTATTGCTACTTCCTCATATTCAATCTAGGACGCACAGAAACCTAGGCGGGGATAAGCTTGAAATTCCAAGTAAGCCAACTGCACACCCTACTGATTAGTGCTTGTTCGACGGGTTGATCACGACATCAAACAAGCAATATAAGCTGCATCTCAGGCGTCTAGGAGCTTCTTCAACTATGCATATATGGTAGAATTCGGTCAATTATGGGAATGCGGGAATGTGCCCTAATTTTCATGCAAGTGTGGAGCAAATGTTTGGTAGTGCCTTGCAGTTTCAAACTTGAGATGCTTACCAAATCACCAAACATTTTTCCGCATTTACTTGCAAAAATCCTCAAGAACCAACTTAGTACTATTCCCAAGTGAAGCCTTATTCGCAAAAGGGCATCATGAACTCCTACAGGAGCTACTGCTCCAAAATGTTCGGTAACTACTTCATTAACAGACTCGAACAATAAACGCTGAAGTATGACGTACCTCTTCCTTGTCTGTAGGTGTGCCTTTGATATCCAGCTTCTGAAAGGAAACGAGAAGTTTCAGAGTCCAAAAAATTCAGTTGTTTAGATCTAAACGTGGATCAGTTTATCTGGACGCCCAGACATCCCCCTGATTCCATTATAGCTTTGGGGCAGGGAGTACAAGAGTTCTGTTACGAGTGGGAGATGATGTGAAAGTTCTGTGCGTCTCACCAGTAGGTGCAACCTGGAAGCAGCCAGCGAAAATTAGCTAAGTCTAATCAGTTTTACTGCCGATTTCAAGACGAAATCTTAAAAGGCTTTCCTTTACACAAAGAACAGTGGGCTTGGCAAGAGACATGATTCTTATCAATTTGAAGCTCCGCTGAAGTGATTATAGGGGGTTTGAACTCGGCTTACTTGCCGTTGATATTCTTATACTCGAGTAATCTCAACTCAATTTCACGGCTATATTGTACCAGTTATTGTGGCTCGAAATCATTTGACTTGGTATGTTTCGAAAATTCACTAACTTCTTGCTCTGCACTGATGACCTTCTTGTCCCGTTTCTGAAAATTAGGTCTTTTTACAGAGCGATATCGAGAGCATTTTTTGAGAGCACTACCGACGGCAATCTTTCTCTATTTGACTTGATGTTCTTATACTTTGACTCTCACGAGGTTGTTATTAAAAGTTCATTAAGTAGCTAACCCTTCGGCGATATCGCCTTCTTCAGAGCCGTCACTTCGAAGTTCCTCGGAATCACCCAGTAACCGATAGCGGGACTACGCCCGGCTGACGTGGACCCGCTATCGGTTGCTGGGTAATTTCGAGGATCAAAGGAGTGGCGGCTCTAATGAAGGCGATATTGCCGAAACGTCAGCTAAAAAGTTTTAATAACAACCTCATCAGAGTTCCAAGCAAAACAACATCAAGTCAGAACCGTGCCGGAGATTTATGGAAGTCCGAACGTAGCGAGTACTTTCTCTATTTACTTCCATGTTTCGGTAAGCCCTTGCCAGACTCCTCCCTCCAACTAATCTTTTCCTGCATTTCAGTCACCGCAAAACGGTCCCAACTGATTGAAAATTTATTCTCATTACAAAGGACCTACAGTAGGACAAAAGGCATTGAATTTGTGACACAAGGGTAACTGTGGTGGTGCATTGGGCACATTAGTAAGCATGCACCCAGGACCCACTTTTAAGGTTGAAATCCCGAACGGTGAAGGAGGTGAGCCTCGAACAGGATGACTTCGTTTCAAAAAATCTCAACTGCTTGCATTGACTATTCTTCAATAGATTGTCACTTGGAGCAGGTGTAGGTTGTAATTATTAATGTTTCACGATGTGAGTCCATCAACGATGAATGGATATGGATGAGCCGAAAACATTGTACGCTTCAACCGAAGTAGATGTACATAAAAATCGCACTGAGTTTTTTTTT